TAACACATAGTCAATGACATCCTGTAATTAACATTCACGGTTCGATTTTCAAGTGCAGCATATTTGTCACTTTTTTCAATTCGCATTTGGGCCATCATCACCTATTCTCATTAACGAAAGCCCGATTACTATCTCATAGACACATCATTCTTTTCATAGCATACAATGTTGCAGGGAGATATTCTCTGTTCAAACAAAATGTTTTCCGACTCTGTCTCTTTAATACCACCATGTGGAAATGGACATTATTTGTATATGTAAAGGAACATTCACAATAAGAAGCACTGACTAATGTAGTAATTGATTGATGCAGCTATTTGATTAGATAAATGCTTATATTGCTGTAATTTTATGATGTTCCCTACGAAAATTGTATGGACAGAGCAACTATTTGCTGTTAAGGAAAGGAATAAAATCAAGAAGATTAGATGCATTCGGTCAAATGTCAGTGTGGTTAAGATGAAGATTGACTGTGGATGTGCTACAGCAGATGAGAATTCAGGAATACCATTTATTGATGTATGAATGAGATGTAGAAATGTAGGACGATCCTTTCATCCTGTCTCTTCCCGTCTGTTTGCTTTCCTTGTTATTTATTACAGTCTTTATTCTGACCAAAAAGAGACAGTTGGTTATCAGCTACTTTTAGACTTAAGTGGGTTTATAAGCAACAAAAATAATACTCCTTTTCTTTTGTTATGTGTTTTCAATAACTTTTTATTTTAGTCTCCAAAAACTTTTATTTTCGTAATGGTTTTGAGTATGTGGAAAGCTTTGAGATTGTTGGTAATTCGGATCGGTTTTCTGCATTAATTTATTGGATTCTTTTTATTGCATTTTACTTTGGAATTATTGATTTTTAGAATTGAAGTAACGAGGTGTGGGGCTTTCAAGTGGTGTTCGGAATTATCGCTCTTATTTCCATTATTATCTTTGTTTTTATTTGTAGCCCTGTTAGACTATCATTTTATCAGATATTGTTAAACTGATTTTCTCTCTTTTGTCCTCAGTCAACACTGAGAGGTTTGAATGACTTAGCAATTTCAACTATTACCGAATAACGTTAGTTTCCAAAATAACACGGAGAATTCCATCAATAATAGTGAAAGAAATGAAAGAAAGCAAATAGGGTATGATTGTTGATTCATTGATAACATTTTCTTTAAAAGTGTTCAGAAAATGGAAAAGCATCGAAGCATATGGTGCAAACTGAGAAGTAATAAAAATGTGCATAGTAGATGAAATTAAGAGGGAGGAAATTCTATTTTACGAGGTCAGTTTCATGTCATGTATTTGTATTTGGATAGATTCATTCTGATTTTATTGGACAGACTAGTTAGAATCTTTGTACTGCATTAGCAGCTGAAGTTCGTTCTCCGAGAAGTACACACTGCATAGTTTTGCTTCAATCATAAATCCTAATTTCTAAATTTTTTAAAGAAATTTCTGGTATTGTAGTTGAATTTTCCTCTCTTTACTCATTCTCACCATTCTTGTTATCTTCTGTTCTTCATGGTAAGTTGAAAAAATAACAAATGCCTCAAAAAAAAAAAAGGAATGGAATAGAACTGTTATTCTATTTTTCTTGGTAACTTTTACTAATTTTATATATTATTTAATTTATTTAATGCTTGATTCTATTTTTTTCTAGTTTTTTCAGGTACTTTTTTAAAATTCTTTTTATGTTCGATATAGTCATTCCTGTGTTTCTAATGTACCTCCTTTCCTGGTTGTTTTTTAGAGAAGGTCTTAGGATTTAGTTTGCGTTGGAAGATAACTGGTAAGAATACCCTTACAGATACCGCCGTGTAGAATATGGTTATTATAGTAAGTGTAGATTTAGGTTAATTTGTAAACTCTTGTTTTTCAAAACTGAAGATTTTGTTCTACTTGGAATTATTAGATTTTTTTATTTTGTTTTTTTTAACTCTTTTATTGCTTCTTTTATTTTAGTTTTTTTAATTTTTTGTTAAGTTTTTTGTACTGAGATCCTATGAAAAGTTGTATTATGATGTGTTTGGGAATTTTTTTATAAGTTGTTATGTTTCTTTGGGTTATTATTTTACTGTTTTAATTTTTTTTTTTTTTTTTGATTGGTTTTTTTCTTTGTTAACTTTTTTTTGCAGTTTTTTTGGTTGTTGTTATAATAATTATTATTATTTTTCGTTTTTGTATTTTTTTGTTTTTATTTTTTTTTGATTACGATTTTTCTTAATTTAGGTCGTAATTTAGGTCGTGGTTTTTAGGTGTTTGTTATAACCAAAAAAATACTAAAAAGCCAAAAAAAAAGGAAATTATATGAAAATATTGTCCTATCAAAACAAAATTCTATACTTAAACTATAATTAAAAAATTAAGTCATATTTAGCAAAAATATACAAACTAAAATTAGAAAAATATAACTTTGTAAAAAAGCGAAAACAATTCAGTAGGAATAACAAACAGTGAAGAAAAAATGAATAAAAAAACCCCAAATCTAAGATAGAGACATCACAAAATGACTAATTAAGAATAATAAATGTTTGATTCCTTTAGTGTTAGTTATTTGTTTTCTTGTGTTTCTATGGTTAGATTTAATTTTGGCTTAAATCACTATGATTATTTTGTTTAATTTATTGTTTTGTGTTGGTTTGTTATCTGTTTTTTAGTTGTTTTAGTTTAATTTATGAAATTTCTAATGTGTAATTAGAGAATAATTTTCAGTTTGCACAACTACTCTCGCTTCGTGAATTTTTATTGTTTTCATTGCATATGTAATTCTCGGTTCATATTTACATTCTAATCTGTTTATATGCTCTTTTTCTCCAACGGTTTAAAAAGCCTTCTTAGTGCTATATTACACAGATATTCTGTCCTGCGGTTGTATGCTTAAATGCATAATGCTTAAATAAAATTTCGGTCTATCATTTTTCATGTTTTATTCTTTGTGATATCTAACGGAAACATTTTGTTTTTCGAAACGTTAAAGTGCATTAGTGAGAAAGCTTAGCATTTCCCCTTGCCGCTTCTACTAAAAGGTTTTATGAAAGAGGAAGCCAGGAGAGGAGAACAAGTATTGATTAGAAGAAATGAGAACATCACAAACTACTTTTCTCATAATTCCTGCTCTTCAATTAATGCTAAGTATTGCACTTTTATAATACTTGAGAAATAGTATTTTACTGTGTGTTCTTGTTCTCCCTCTTCCCCTCTCCCTCTCTCTTCCTCTCTATCAGTGTTTATTACATTATGTTCGTCGTTCTTGTAAAAAGGAGTTCAAACCTGAAATATACACTTATGTTAGAAATAGCAATATACATGCATATACTCATCCAGTTCGATACGTCTTCGAAGAACACCTGTACAGATTTGATCTGTTGCATCTTTTAATACATCATGTTACCATATTAATTCAGCGGCAACATCCACGAAAAAGCTCTGGATTTCGACCTCTTTACTGAACAGTTCGGATTTCCGATCATTTGCCACTACCGTACGATTTCATTTAACTCCTCCAATTAATTTGTTACTTTGAAATACTGAGCGCTAGTTGTATTTTATTGTAATGTTGCACAGGGCTATAGACAAGGCGCTCTATCATGGCAGTTATGAATAAAAAAATTAAAATGTAATGAATAAGTGAATTCAATTACACGACAACTTTTCCTGAACAGAATAGAAGGAAAACTTTTGCCTCTCTCTTTTATTTTCCTTGGCATTGAGTTTTGATAATTGTTTATCATTACTTTAAATGAGCATACTTCTTTTGAATGCGGACAAAGGATTTTCAGTGTTTTCAGATGCGAACAAAGACTCTAAATTCTATTTTATTTCAAGTATGAGCAGATTTCACTAGGGTGCATGTGGACTTCTGAAATGATGCAGTTTGCTTCATCTGTCTGAATTCTCTCAAAATTTGCTACTTTTAAATTGTTATTGCCGTATAATCTGTCAAGCTAGTTTATCACCAGTTATTTGTTCTCTTGTTCAACGTTTTTGCTCTTATATGACATATTGTTTCATTTTTCATACCATTAATTTAATTTACATCTGCTCAAAGAGCGTAAATCTTCGTAGCCAAGGAAGGAAGTTACTCTTATACATAGATATTTTTCTTACTTTAATATCAGCAAAAAAATGAATATTGTCGTCTCTGTTATATAACTGCATAAAGCCATGGAGCTCATTTCCGTTATAAATTCGTTCCGTTCCGATTTTTCGTCTGAATATCTCGGTATCATAACATTCCGTTGGTTTCTGTCTTCAAAGTTTTGAATTTTCGGTGTTGGATGCACTGTCGTATTCATCGCAGCTTAAAATCTCATTTTAAGTTAACCTCATATATCTGTTACAGTTTCCACAGTCCATTATTAATTCATTATTATTATTATTATTATAATTATAACTATTATTATTATTATTATTATTATTATTATTATTACTGCCATCATTATTATCATTATCATTATTATTTATTACCACTTTCATTATTATTTATTGTCATTAATTATTTTATTTATTATAAATCTGAGTTATTTCAGTGCATACAGAACACATGAAAATGGCTTAAAGACTTATGTTTAACTTTATTACGTGTTAGAAATGCTTGCTTAACTTGTCAACGTATACAACAGATGAGCAAACAAGTCATTCTTTGAAAATTTTTTCATTTAAAATTGCATACTAAGAAAGATGAGAATAAGCGGTTGTACATGAAGCTTATTTTTTGTTGTGTTCTTTCACTTGGAATATTAGATTTATACTCGTGCTTTAAAATTTAAAGAAAAATTATTTAAAAAAAAATTTAACAGATGAATATGAATTTGCTGATTAAAGGATTTTTAAATTTGGAACGAAAGTGTTTTTCTGAATTCGTGTTTTCAATTAAAGTAGTAACAGAGTTCGAATACTATTTGCTCATTAAATGTCGGTTTATTGATTTACTTTTATTGCATATGCATCTTATGGCCGTGTATTTGGCGTCGTGTCTTAGCACGTTTTCTTGAATTTAATGTATTGTAATGTGTTTGAAACTGATAGAATTAGCACGACGGCGTTTTCACGAGCTGTCGATTGGCTTTGTTGTGGTATACGAAACCAGGGTGACGGTGAAAGTAGTACGTATGCTGGTACCATCTCGGCACATTTATCTTCCTCTGGTAATATTGTAATTTCTTTTCATTTTTTATAGTTAAAAGCTTGTGGTCTGTGATGTCTTTAATAAAATACTTATTTTGCTGTAATAAAAATTATAACTGAAGAAAAAATTATATTTAATCTCTCATAATTATGTGATAAAAAAAGCTGAAGTTCAAACTTTTTACGAAGTTTTGAATTTTTGAAATGTTATATAGTCAATCATGTTTTCCTGCCTTTTTCTGCTACTGAGAAATTTGATGGATCTCATCTGCAAATTTTTTGTAGTAACACAAGGAGGTCAGCAGCATGGAAGGAAAATATCTCCCGTTAGCAAGTTACATGCGGTTGAACATATTGTTTCACCAAAATATGAATCACTACCTTCCGATCCCGTAATTGATCATCTCGCATCTTTTGATAGTTTCTCCGACTTGGGTAAGTCCGAGTTTATTAATTGGCTGACCTGATAAATAATGAAAGGGATCTTACCTCCAGTTCTACTTCCGGTTCCATTTCAGTTTTTTACAAATGTAAAGAATCGGAGGATCTAACCGCCCTAGTGTTTTTTAAAATATAAACCTATAGGTTACCTTTAGTTCAGGAGTGATACAGTAATTTACATAAAACTTCAGCTTGCTGTCGTTGAGGATAAGTAGATCATATAATTTAACTGATAGTAGATTATCTTAGCATTCTTCCAAATTCTTTTTTTTTCATTTCGAAGTTTTAAGAAATACTAGATTTTTTCCGATTTAAACAACAAATGCTTAGTAACGTTTTTATTTTTTTTCATTCACTTACGAAATGTTATTCAATAATCAAATTCTCTTCACGATTTTTCTTGAGTTGAATAGATGTAGAAATGTTAGCTGACATTTACGAGAAATTTTATATCATGCGTTTTTCTCCAAAAGGTGGTTATTCTTGCAGCATACATTGATAATTAAAAGTATCCAATTTTGTGGGAGAATTTCGAACTTTTGAAGCAGATTACTTTATGAATTAAGGCTTTATTGAGGGAAGACGAGAAGGAGAGTTTTTTATGTATTATGAATCAATTAAAATATTAGCACAATATTTTTGTCTCTTTTAGCTTCCTACTCCAAATTCTAGTGTTTAAGATTACATGGTATGAAATTATGAGGTACGAAAGTTCATAATTTATAACGGGTTCATTCTTAATGATAAAAATTCATCATAGTTTTGTCATTTTAAGACTTGCTTAGAATTCATGGAGACAGTTAGTTTAGAAATTAGTAAGAAACGAATAGGGTTTTCTTCTTTCGTGTAAAGGATCGGAATTTAAAGAATAATGCAAGTGCAGTAAAATACATTGATTTCATTTTTTGAATTCTTTGCAGACCCGGAATCGCGCAAACAGTCATCTGCTGAGGGGTATCGGAATCAAGTATTGTTGCCGGAATTATTAGGTTCGTCTAACAGATAAGAATAAATTTGCTTCATTAAACGACATTAATCGGATATCTGAAAGTTATTTTTATCGTATTTCAGTCTTTTTCTCGTATGTTTTTCTAACGAATTGAAAGGGAGATTTTTTTTTAGAACTTCTGGACAAAAAGTTTTTTAGTAGATATCTTTTGAAATCAAGTTTGGAATTTAGTAATTGTTTACTCATTATAATCTTTCATTGCACCAGGACTGGTAAGCAAAAAAGGTTTTTGATATGCTTTTTCATTTTCCTTTTGCAATTATTTTATTACTAAATAGCATTTAATTACTATTAGTAGTTATTATATTTAGTATTAGTAGTCACTAATTAAATATTAGTAAATAATATTTAATTACATTTAATTATTAACAATGTACGTATTTTTCATATGTTTTAAACATGAAATTGTAATGGTTTAGTTTCAATTTTTTTTTTCTTTTTTTTTTCTTTGGGGGAGAGGGGAGAGGAAGGAAGGATTTCCTTCTCTTAACACAAAAGTGAAATTTTCTAATAATATTAAGGAGTGATACAATATTTGTTGAGTAATTGAAATTAACAGCGAGGACTTTTATCCCCCACTTGCTGTACGGGCTTACTTGTCACTTCTATTCAGTTCATGGATATGAACTATCATGACCTTTGAAGAATAAGTAAAAGCACATTTGCATGTCTCTTTCCTCAGCATGTTTTTATGTTGATCCATAACAGTGGCCATCTGGATGAAATCCCATAATATTAACGTGATTTATAAGGCTTTTGTTTGTGTAATGTGTTGCATTCAATATACGGTAAAAACATGAAAGATATTGATTTCCAGTAATTTGTAGGTTTATCTCGGATCTTGTGGAACTGACAAAAAATTAATTTTCTGATTCTTTAAAAAAAATTATGTACTCTAAAAAATTTTTACTTCGTTCATTAAAGTATATGCAACAAGATGAGCACTTCTGTGTTTATTGCTTTATTTATTACTATATGAAATTGTTCGTATTTTTGTATTCTTCTTATTTCAGAATTACTAAATACTCTGAAATGTTTTTAAAGATTAATGAAAATAGGGAAAGGTTAATTAATTTTAAGTTTTGAAAAGGTTTCATTATTGATATTATCAGAAGAAATACCCGTCTAATTTGCTATCCAAAAATCCTACGACTAATTTTATTTTCTTCAATAATCGGCTTAACGATTATATTTCTTCCCTTAAATTTTCAACTATTTTTTCAAAAGGGGGTGTTAGTTTCTTCTAAACGAGTAATATACACTATTGTTGCTGCTTAATTATTCCTTAATTATATATTCAGCACTTTTAATTGTGAAAATTCGCTGATTGTTAGACATAAGTTTCATTAGTGCAGTTCCTTTCGATTTTCGGACTTTAAACGATCAGGTTGAACAACATAAAAGGGAGGAATAGACTATTTATGTAAAAAAAGGAAATAAAAATAGTCTCCAGGTTGCTCCCTCCTGCAGTATTCTATCCTGTGATCGAAGCGGGATTATTTTAATCATTGCACATTTATGAAGTTTTCAGATGGTTTCTTAAGCTTGTTGTTGTTGATAATATGTGATGATGATGATGATATCCTGCTTCCTGTCTTATGTTTGACAATGCTAACATACCAGAGATTAGACAACTAATTATATTGACTTGTTAGTTTCTTCTAAATGAGTAATACACCTGTTATTGCTGCTTAATTACTAGTTCTTCCTTATCCATCTGCCACTTTTTTATTTACACTAGAATAGAACATTTAGTGTCATTTCCTCAAAATATTGCTGACCTTAATGAGACATTCCGACAGTTATTTCCTCATAAATAGTTTGGCCTCTAATAATTTTGTGATCTAGTTGGAATCGGTGAAAAAAATGCTAATAATGCAATGGAAAGTTTTCGCTTAAAACCTCATTACTGAAACATCGTTTGATTCTCTGTAGTGCATCAGTGAAGTTCTGAAAACATTTGCCAATGTTGTAAGGCGTAAGAAAATTCTAGGAGCTTTACTGCCACTCAAATGGTAAAGGTGGTCGAGATTTGTATTCTCATTTTAATATTATTTAGATCAGACATCAGAAAATTGTTATTCGGGCTGCTTTTCTGAATCAGGATGAAAAAAAATTCATCAGTTGGATGTAATCAACAGCGAGTTTATTCGTCATGCTTTATATTATCTGATTACCCAAATTTAGTTACGAGAGCGTGTCCTGTCATAGCCGATTGTCAACAACAGCAGCAACACGAAAGTTATTCTAATTTCGCATCCGCATTGCATGTTTTTCGTCTTATTGTACCTCAGCAACAAGGAACAGCTGTAAAAGATGTAGCATGCCAGTGTGATGGTCAAAATGGTAGTGATAACAGTGGCAATAACAATATTTTTGGTTGTAGCTTGGATGAAGGTCTTTTTCCAGCAAAGCCACCGTTGTCGTTACCTGTTAAAATGGGCGACGCTTTACGAAAAAGGTATGTGGGGAAAAGACATTTCCAAAATTCCTAAACTGTTGTATGCGGGTGCGATTACAAGTGGCTGCTTTATTGATAATGGAATGAATTTAAAGAGTTCGTAGGATGTATGGGGAATTTCGACGAATGTATTACAAGGTTCTTCCACATTAGGCATACCTGGAAAGCCATTGCGTGTAAATTCATTTTATGAGTAAAACGTTCGTAAAGTACGCTATGCTTGGTTTTGAAGAACTTCATAATTAAGCTGTACTAGACGGAGGAACTGATTTTAAATTTTTCGTTTAAATTGTGCATGAACCATTCAGTCACTTATTTATAATGGCAGTTGTTTACACATAACACACCCATTTCACATTTCTTCTTCCCTTAATGTTTTTACTTTTAAGACAGCCGGTAACATATTATCATTCAACGTCAAGTTGCATGAAACTGTTAAACGACTTAGAAAGTGAAAATGCACCATTGTTTGCTAATACTCTGTGTGACTCTTCGACATCTTCTCTGTCACAATCAACCGGACAGAAGACACTCGAGTACTCCGTATGTCGTAATCGTGTTCCTGTGATTTCTGCTAGTAGCACTGACATCACGCCAATATCAGTTATTGCTAGTACTGTAGCAGCCAGTGACCCTGTTACTGAACAGCATGAATCAAAAAGTGCTTTTACGATTACCGCCAACGGCATTCCGACTAGGAAAATGACGTTGGCATCATATGATGTCAGCGTCGTTCGGGCTCGACGTCTAACATTGTCACGTTCGGCTAGTGATTCTAAATTGTACATCGGAACTAGGCGACAGGCAGAACTTGGACTTGCTGGCATACAGCCATGTGACGCACGTTGTAAAGGTGTTGATGAATTAAGTCGTGTAACTGCAGATATCGCTGCCGAGAATCCAGATATGATCCGTTTCCAACAAGTACTCAATTCATGGGTAAGTCGTTTTTTAAGAATTCGATTTTAGCAAGTTAGGAAAACAAAATTTCCAGAAATAAACATCGATACCATAGCTCTGTAGAATTACCATAAGGTATTAAACTAAAAATTGTTCGAACTGTTAGGAAACCGAAATACTTACTTGCTTCATTTGAAGTTCGCGTTTACGCGAACTTCAAAGTAGTAAAAGGATGTCAACAAAAGAATGGATGCTGAACGATATTTTCTTTCAAGTTTTTGCAAAATTTGAATGAGTCGAAATGAAAAGATCACAGGTGGATAAAAAGTTGTAGTTACGAAGCAGACGAAATCGTTAAAAAAACAGTTGCAGTTACAAAAAAAATCATGATGTTATGACTGATATATGTTAATTATTAGTATATTTTTGTTTAAAATTAAATGGTTTTTGAAATGAGGAATTTACCTTCAAAAATCGGTGGGAAAAGGACAGCTTAAAGAGGAATCATGCTTTTTTTTCAACAGTGTGGATTTTGAGTTTCAAGTAAAGCGAAATGAATTAGGTAAAATGATTAGGAGATATTTCCCAGTTTCCATAATCGACCAAGTCACTATATAGTGAGATGCTGTTTATTCACGGTGATACGTACACTGCATATATATTCCAAAAAGGGCTATGTATGATTTTAATTAATGCCTTTGATCTCAGAAAAAAAATTCCTGTTGATGTAATTTTAGTAATTGTGCCAAAAAATGCTTAAAAAACTCCATTTCGGCATTGGGATTGCAGAAATAATTTATTAAAATGTTCCTTTGTGAGGATCATTGTGTCATATCATATTTTGGTGAAGGAATTCCGAAAATTTTTTCTGCTCCTCATTCTATTTCAGAATATCTTGTTTTAATTTAAATATTTGCTAGAAATCATGGCAGTGGCTCAGATCTATGATCTAAAATTCAAATTTAAAAAAAATTACAGATTGGAGCTCATACGGGTGCGCGAACAGCGGCGTTTTTGCTCATTTCAAAAGAATGTAATTCCTGCTTTTGCCAAGTAAATTTTATTTTTCTAAAAATGATCGAAAAATTTTCTGTTATTCTTCCATTTCGATATCCTCTTAGTATAAGTTTCATAAAAACTTGAAAGAAGTTCATGACCTCATTTATTTGGTCAAACCAATAGTTTTTGCATTTAATTACCAGTAATTATTCATATCAGGTTCATTTTCCCACTTCAACAAAATAGTCAGCTGATTCAGTAGCAGCTTCATTTAATATCTTTTAATATTACTGCCTTCGATATCACTGTTCATTAGATTCACTTAATTATTAGCAGCAATACTAAATATTCATTATTCATTTAAAATTACTAGTTAATTATTCATTTAATATTACTAGTACTAATAAATTAAATATTAAATATGCTAAAGTCGTAGTAATATTAAATATAAAAAATATAAAAACCAAGAAAATTTGTTTCCCGTACACTCTGTAAACAAAAATACCGAAGTTTATGATCACTCTGAAAAAATTGTTTGATTTGATTCCTTTGTTTACCACTATCATATATTTATTTCTTTTGGTTCCCTTTCTTTCCACTCTTCATCTCTATGTTTATTTGTTCTCACTACGTGAATTTAAAGACCGCCAGTTCTCATCTTAAGATTTCACTCTATTTCAAATTAGGATTTATCATTTCCATAACACTGTCGTGGGTGATAAAGGTACAAGTGTTGATTCATCGTACTCGTAGCAGTTACTCTTATGCTGTAATTACAAATATGTTTAATTTCCCATTGATTAAATAACAGCGCAATGATTTATTTCGCGTTTCAAGACAGCAGTTTGCCACAAGATAAACCGCTCTGTCTCATAATGAACTAAACTAATATAAGTTCAATTTTTATACAAGAGCAATCTCCTTACAAAAAATATACATGGTTGTAGTGTAACACACTAATATAAGAAGACTATTTGGTGTCCGTGGCACTGTTTATTTTTTACCTTTTTTATTTCAACTTTTATACCTTTGACTGTCTTACTATCTCGTGATTGAAATAAATAATACAAAACGCATTTTGCTATTTATACATCAGTAATATCGCTGATGATTTATTTCTTGCTTCACAAAACAATTTAAAGGGAATATCAATCATCTCCGCTTCAGTAATTATTTAATCTAACTAAAAAGTATGAAACATTCTGGAATAGAAGTTCTACTAAATTTTATGCTTTTCTTACATGCGCTTTAAATAGCTTGTCTTAATGTCAGCGCGCATATCATTTCTGAAGTTGTTCATATTTATCACTAAGGTTTTGTTAATTGGAATCAACTGTTAATATTTTTATATTGTTAGGAAGCACTGATTAACATTTATCAGTGTGCATGCTGTGATAAAGAGGCATTCGTAGTCATTTTTGCCGAAAATACTCTTTACAATTGTCTCATTGTTTTTACTCATTGCCTTTTGGGAATAGTTTTCCGTGACTGGGAAACATACCTTACTGTGCTTAAATGGCATTCCAAAGAGGTTAGGAAGGTTCTTGCAACAATGACGGATACGTAGCGAAGTTTTACAGAAACCAGATATGTGCACAGTAGTGATTTGAATGCATGAGTCTGTCATATGAAAATATACTTGAAATCAATAATTTCTTCCTACAGTGCTTCTGTTCCATATCCATTAGACCTGAGAAAATTGTCAAGAATATCATTTGTCATTTGATTATATCACATCCAGTAACATGGCAGTTATGGAGCAGAAGGATAATCCCTTCAGTGATGGCTCCTTCTCAGCATTCAAAAAAGAATTGGGCAGCATATGATTTATTAATCTTCAGGGATTCGTTCTTATCATCATCTAAGTATTTTCCTGATTTTCTTCCAAGAATTTTTACTTTGTCACAGTGTGTAACAAAGTGCGTCTAAATGATTTCTATTTATATGAAAGAAATTCATGTTCAGTGTATTTCAGGTTTGTGGTAATCAACTGCTGGAAGAACCAATCTACTGTGTAAGTTCTGAATGATGTTTTCTTTAAATATTTAGTTTCCTGTGGCAAAATTGTTTAGAAAATTCTATGGCAGTTCTGGTAGTTAAGATTCAATGCTTAGTTGAAAAGACACACGGATTTGAGATTACTATATGTGATAGCTTCAGCAGCCGAACTTTCATTTTCTTAAGATTGACACAATTTCAGCAGGCTAGTTGATACTGACATCTTACTGAAGAAATGTTTTTTTCTCATAATGAAATTAGATGAATGGAACTTTTTGAGAGAAAATATCTCAAATGCAGATCAGTTGAAGAGCTATTGTCAACCTTGGTTACGGTTGACTAAGCAGCTTTACAGTGGGAGAGTTTGAACAGCGACAGTAACAGACTCACAAATGTTTCATCTTCCTTTCTAAAACTGAGTATGAGTCCCATAAAAGATTAAGTGATAAAGAAGAATGGAACAAAGTGAGCGAGGGAGGGAGATGACGCGAAACAAAAATTCGTTACCTTCTGCTAAATGCAATTTAATTTGACAATTCTATAACCCATCCCGTTTAGTCGAAATTTATTATGCTTGTCTTTATAAGATCTTGATAATAAGGGAGAAGCAAGCTGACAGGAATGCGAAGCAAAAAGATTCTCATTAATCTACCATCTACTTTTTTCCATTCTCGTTCTCTTTCAATATTGAATCTGTTGGCTTTAAAATCCTACGAAAAAATTATTCTTATTCATCAACAAATGAAATTTAAAAAATGATTTCTTTTGACAGAAAACAATCCTATTACTCCCGTAAGGTGTGTTATGTGTACATATATATGCATCAATTCCTCACCAGCTTTTTCTATGTTTCGAATGAAAGCATATTCATTTTTTTTTTTGTGCAATTCCAGCTTCCACCTGCTTTCATTCTTCTAAATGAAATTTTATATCTCCTTCATTAGCTTCTGATCATTTTTTCTTTTAGTGGGATATGTTAGTTTGATGTGCCCTAGCAGCTTTCGATCTTGCAATCATGTAGAATTTGGTAGCCGAGATTAGTTGGGAAAGATATAAAATGTGGATCATGTCAGTAAGGAATAATTTCCTATCAGTGCTGCTTTTCTGTCAAAGAATGATGACAAATCAGAAATTATAGTGATTAGCAAAAGTGATTGGTTATTTAACTAATTAATTAGCTCCTTGTTGTTCATTAAATAATTCTGCAAAAGTAATCAAAGTTTTTAATTTATTAAATTTTGCGTTTAAAGGGTGGTGCTGATGTGTTGTGGTCACTGTTTAACGGCAATGCAAACAGTAAGGATTTATCACTTCCACCTTGTACAGCTCGTGCACTCAATATTTATGTCGATATCGATATGCTCAGTAAGGCAAGTTTTGTTTTTGCTTTGATTTGTTTGTTTATGAATTTCTCTAACATGTTTTAAAGAGACATCCAAGCGATCTATTAATCGAACAAAATGTTCATTAATGGATAAGGCGATATACTTCCAAAGGTGAAATATTCCCAAATATATGAAAGTGTTAAGAAACACTAATAGGTAATTAATCCTGACTGCTCACATTTTTGGTCCGCCATGGGCAAACAAAATTTTTATATTATAGTATCACATCCGTCTATTTTGTATGTGCATTACCTCTTTACTAAGATCTTAATCACCTGCCTCACTCCACCTACTTAGCCTTTCCGGGTAATTATGTGGGAAGTTCCTTCATCTTCATATGATGTTCTCAACTTAACTGTATTTTTGTCTTTCTTCATATTTTTGCTTTCTATTAATAGTTCGTCATACTATAAGTTTGTAAAGAATTTGTTTATCGTATAGCTTACTAACTATTTGAAATTAAAAATAAGGTCATTTTTACCATCTCTAGAAGTTGTTCTTTTTTCTTTATGGAGGATTAGAAAAAGGTTCGATTCCCTATAGTGACCATCCCTCTTTTGCAGGTGTCAAGATGTAGTCATACATAAATAACGTGCAGCTGCGCATTCCACTTCATGTGGTTGTTTTTCTTTGTACGGGACAAGACAAGAAAAAAAACGAAATTTTTTCCGAGATTTGGAAGTGGAAAATGAGTGAACAAAGGAAGGTTGTCGAGTAATTGCTTCCTTCGAAAAAATAAATTTTATCCAAAATTCCAAAATCACTAACAATAGGTAGTAATCATTCTTTTTATGACATTAGTAAGCTTCCGAAATTCGTTTTCCAATTCTTAAATAGTAATGTTGGAGAATTATAATACGTAACTGTACATGTATAGAACTTGAGTGACTTAATCTTTGTTGATGCAGGAACTTTCTGATATACTTTATATATGAGCTGATCTCGTATATTTCCTTACTACTCCTGTGTCATATCTCATTAATTTCCCGAATGATTCTTACAGTTCAATTACGCTGTTATTCTTCGATTTGATATATCTCGCTTTCCTTTAAAGGTTAAAATACTGAAAAAAGACAGTTTTGTCCACTAAAATATCATCGCGAGTAAGGTTTTTCTTGAAGAAAAATTGTCACAACACTAATTATTGTGGTCAGTTAATATCCCAGCTCAATATTTTACTGGATGTCTTTTATTGCAAGTTTATTCCTTCCATTAAATCTTTTTATTTATCGAACAAGTCTTTACCTCACTCATAAATTGCTAATAATAGATGATGTTTTATTTATTTAACTTGTTGAAGCAGTCGCCTTATGTATGTTAAACTGTTCTTAACAGTTTTGCTTTCTGTTGACAATTAATGCCTCAGTTAACGTCAGTTCGCAGAACTGTATTACGTAACTAATTTATTTACTTATTCTCCAAATTGCAGGAATTTCGAGAGAGGATATATGCTATAGTGCGAAAGAGTACTGATGGAGAAAATCTGTTAAGGAGTTCCCTCAGTGGTACCATCTTTTTGTTACAAGCACGGAGTAATTTTGTTGCTGGCCTACTATTAATACATCAAAATGAGTAGTATGTTTTATTTAAAAGTTTTTTTTTCTGCAGAGTTTTTAATCTTTTTTAAAACAATTTTGATTTCTGTTGTTTTGAAAAATCACGTAAGACTTCAATCTTAAGTTGGTGTTTGGAGAAAAATAGAAAAATGAGTTCGGCTGTTTTTACGGGCTTTTAATTCTGCATAATCTTTGGTTCAAGAGAATTATTACTATACTTTTAATTCCTTTCTGAAAATTTTTTAAAGAGAATGTTCACATAAAATGGCACTTTATATGGCTCCATTCACTATTTTTATGAGGAAACTACAGCGAGAGTTTCAGTTATTTATCGACCCTAACTTTTAATTCTTTCAATGGTGTTGAATCTTAAAATACATCAATTTTATTTCTGGATGATCCCAACCAGTTTTCACTGCGTTTTTCTTCTGTTCTCATTAATTGTTTCAGGAATAATAGTTTTGTATTAGTTCAATAAATTAATAATTCTGTGCAGTGAAAAAAATACGATTCCTTTATCTATCTCTGAATATTTTCCACCTTTCACTATGAGTTTGTTGGAATCATCTTTTTTTTATTAAAAAGATTTCCAGATGAAAGAGAGGAAGAAACGAAGAGAATAGTAAGGGGCACAATTTTTTGGTAGTTCATTTCTTTATTTTACAAGAAATATTTATAATTTTTTAGTAGTATTAATTCCGAAAGAGAAATTTTAGTACAGTGGAAGCGGAACGAAATTTCGTAATGCCTCATTTACACCTAATTGCTGCATTACTGTCCATTGTTGCTAATATTGAAGAGCAAAAACGTTTAGCGCAACAGTCCGAAGTGTTTCTCACTATGACGCAAAATGTATTCTCCAGCTTACGTAAGCCTCAATTTTGATCTTTGGAAAATCGGAATCGGAATATTGTCATATTGAGATTCTATTTTTATAAAACTTCATCATTATAGAAAAACAGAGAGAATGAGAAACACAATTTGATGTGATTACCGTAGGAGAACCGATATTTTACTAGGGAAATTAAATCACATTCAACATGTGATTTTTAATTGAAAATCTGTTTAAAGGTTTTGTCACATATTGCTTCCTATTAGATGTCGTGAAACTTATACTTATACTTAACTTAATTACGTCCCCTGATTAATAATTCACCTAGGTATTTGTTGTTCGTTGCTTTCATAAAGTTTTTTTCTTTCATTTAGAAGATATGAACTTATTGGTGAGAAATATAACGAAAGAAGCCAAAACCCTTGTGCATGCCGAAATGTAGGTTCAAAGTTTTGATTTTCGTTTGAAAATTTTGATCTAATATTGTTTCTCACTTTCTCTATGATCAGTTTTCGTTTTTCAGATGTTCTTTATTTCTTCTTGATCGTGAAAACTCTGAACTGGTTGCTGAAGTATTCGAAAAAAATGGCTCAAATGATGAATATCTGACGGAAATCAGAATGCCATTGTCACTGGGCATTGTTGGACAGGTTGCAAGCACTGGACAAATGATGAATGTCAAAGAAGCTTATAGGTTATTAATTTTTATTCAGGATAAAGGGTCATTTTGAATTGTGCATTCGGACAGATATAGCGAGGGGAAATGAAAGCTTCGTCACTACTTTTCGCAATAAATCTCTTTTCCAATTGATTGCATGGAAAATGGATAATAGTCTTCAAAAAGAATAACTTTTTGACTCTAGTAAATGTTACATTTCATTTCTAAAAAGTTATGATAAATGAATTATGAAGATATCTGGTGAAGAAATAAGGCATTTACGTGAGATATTTTTCCGATAGTTTTTATGATATGTTTCTGATTGCAGTCATCCAGCTTTCTACCCGAAAGTGGACGAACGAACCGGTTTCGTTACACGAAACATATTATGTTTCCCGATCAAAGATAGTTCTGGTAGGAGTATATGTAAGAGTAATGTAAACTTGCATGACTATACTTCTCTCGAGATAACCAGTATTTGTCCAAACTTCCTCATATTTTAATGCATGAGGATTATGACGAAACTCGCAAATTATTCCTATTAGTAAAGTATTTATACCATTTTTTTTAATCATCTGTAAAAAGATTTAATATTGCAGATAGGTTCTTTGTTAGTCTTCTAATTTTCAGTTTTTCCTCTATTTTTGCAAAACTGACAATTTAACTTTATGGTTTTAACAAAATCCTTGACTTGTTGTCATCCGCAGAATCACAGGAAACCTTGTTGGTGTGGCGGAGCTATGTAATAAAATTGGAAAGCTTGCCTTTACGAAGCACGATGAGCAAATTGCAATGACATTTGCAATATACTGTGCCATCAGTATATCACATGTAAGATTTTTTGATTAACTAGTTTTTAAGATAATTGGATTTATCATTTCGAGATTTGTTACTATGTGGTTGTGCATGACGAATCGAACTTATAATTTCCTTACTTGAACTTACTTCCCAATTTTTCTTCTCTTTGTTTGATTAATTCCTAAAAGTGTCAGAGTTCATATTTGATTTGACTTTTTGTTTTTTTTTTGTTTTGTTTTTTTTTTTTTTTGCGACTTTTTCCTTTAAGACAACCAATCCATTTGGTCACTTGCATCTTTATCTGTTTTAGTCTTATTCTCTTTGTCCAAAATGTTTTTATTGAGCAATAGATTTTTAATGAGTTCAGATCAGAAATGTTATATGAATAAGTTGTAATGACTGCAGTGTCGTGAGCAGTCCCTTTTCTAAAAAGTATTATGCTTATGAAGTTCATCAGTTTTGCACTGGGTTTTAATACTGTTCTGCGTGTTTATGAAGTGCAACTGATTTCGTATGAGGAGTTAATGTATTAATATATTATATGTACATTATTTGTATATAATTTATATATACAACAATGCATTATAATATTCTGCTTATTCTTTTTAGTGTCTTCTTTATCGGAAACTGCAAGAAGCTCATCGACGATCACATTTGGCCGCTGAGTTATTAGTACAAGGTTCTACGCTGTCGGTAAAGTTTATGTTTTGTTTAAGGAAAGAGTAAAGAAGACATTGTACCCAAACTAAAAATTTGTAGTTATAATTTTTAAAATGAAATATGGTTAGACGGAACACATATATCATTGACTGATCGGCACCTTAAGTTTACTATTTAGTCTTCGTTTTACTGCCTCTATACTTTAATGTCTGTGGATGTGGGTTTCCTTTAGGTGATGTTTTTACATGCGTTAGACATGTCATATTTTAATATTCCAATGATAAGAGTTCTTCGCTCAAAAACTCTCTAAATTGAAAATGCAAAGTGATTATTGTTAGTCCATGGTGGCTTAGAAATAAACCTAAGTTTCGTGGGTTGAAGTATACTTTTGACTTTTTAGTTATTATACGAAAATTATTATTTGTTTATGTGCACATATTATACATGCAGTTGTGCAAAATATTATTTCCTTATGAAAATATCCTTCACAGCTACTCTAGAAAAAGCAACTGAAAGTAATGGAGAAAATGGATAATAAGAGTAATGGTAGGTAATAATGTTGCAATTTGATGTATTTGTGAAACTGATACGAGTAATTACTAAATAAAATAATAAAGGAGATTGATTATCTTCATATAATTTCATACAATTCTCCTAATCATTATTTTCCTTTCAACTGCTGCTTACAACAGTGTGGTAAGAAATAGTATACTTAATTCTTAGGATGTTGAGTTAACTTTTTCACTTCGTTTGCAGATTGCACCAGAAGATTTGTTACGATTAACAGCAGGTGATATACCATCAGCGACTTCTTTTGCTCCAGAATTCGATCATTTTAATTTTCCGCCACGTTCCATTGGGTCAGGCGATATCTATGTTGAAGCAGCATTGTCCATTTTTAAGGTCTGTCTTCGAAATTTACAGTGGTTTCAAGATTCCAGGCAAAAATTTTACTAGAAATTATCGTAAAAAAAGTTTACTCTGCAGTTAAGTCTTATTATTTATAAACGAATTACAGTTATAATTTGGATTTATAAAAACCTTTTTTTAATCATTTATCGATGTTCAGGGATGTGTCACACCAAACTAAAACTTCATTTCAGGATCTGGGTTTTGTTCAGCGATTTCGCTTACAGCGGCAAACATTAGCATGTTTCTTATTGATGGTTCAAAAGGGTTACCGTGATGTGCCTTATCACAACTGGTCTCATGCATTTGCTGTTGCTCATTTCACGTATTTGTTACTGCGAACTGAAACAGCACACAATGCACTGAATGAATTGGAAAGTTTTGCTCTCTTTGTAGCAAGTTTATGTCATGATATCGATCATCGTGGTACTACGAATGCATTCCAAGTACAGTCGGTCGGTTTCAATTTTCTACATGTATTAGATACCTGAATAAAATAGTTACCTGATAGATAGTCATTATCATAGATACTCGCAAACTGTTCTCCATGGCTTATCAAATAGAGGGTATTTTGTGATTACGATAAAGGGAAATTTTCGAATGGTTGTTCTAAATTTTACTGAAGAAATGTAAGAGTAGTGTGCGGTTTCTTATTACACATCTGATAGCCTAAGTTGGTTTACAACTTAATGAGATTTAAAGTCATACTAAGAGAGTGAATAATTGCAATATGTGATGGGAGTACGTGATAATAATAGAGAAACTTCAATTTTTTCCGTTTGGTGTCGTTACAGCGAACACCGCTAGCTCAGTTGTACAGTAGTGAAGGCTCGGTATTGGAGAGGCATCACTTTGCTCAAACAATATCAATATTAAATATGGAGGAGTGCAATATATTCGTTTCATTAAATCGACATGTAAGTTTTTTTATTTTTGAATATGTTCGCACCGGTTTAAAAAAGTCGAAGATCTACTCGAATTTTACTTCATATCTATGTGATTTGACCTATATATAAGAATTTTTCATCTTATAACCATGGGTAGTAAGTATACTCAATGTAGAATTATTTTTCAAAGGCTTATGTTCTGTTGGTATGTGAGTTAAGAATCCGAATCATTAGAGCCTTTAATGTAGAGATTCTATAAGCTGCACTCACTTTGTAATTAAAAACTGTTATTTTTTTAAGCAGTTCCATTCAGTCCTGGATCACATACGGGATATCATTCTCGCAACCGACATAGCTAATCATTTACAGAAAGTGCAAGATATTAATCGAATGGTTGAAGGTGAGTAATTCGGTCTACAAGAAATTTGTATCTGAGGAATTTGGATTTCATTTTGAAGCTTTTTTTTCTGTCACATCGAATGTGTTGATAAAAATGAAAAGTACTATACAATTTATTCCCGGATCATAGAAAATTTTGAAAAAAAAAAGAACTTTCCATGAAAGTAAGAAGAACTAACTGAGGCTAGGGAAGAAATAAATTTTTTGAATACGACATATTATTTGGTTTAGTTTTAATAGGCATGGTCGCTTTTTTTATAATACATACCATCAAAATTACCGACCGGACTATCCTGAAACTGCTGGTTTATAATTTTGTATGAGAAAATTAAGTTTGCAGCAGGGTATGCTATGAGCATCAGTCTAAGGCATGTCAAGGCTTGGACCATTCATTGTATACATCTTGCTAATTTGCCATTCGCACTGCCGTGGATGATATCCACAGTGCGTGGCAAGAATAAAAGGTAGTACTTCATCTAGCTCTGTATGGAATGCGTTTGTCCAATTATAACTACCGTAATATCGATGTTCATCTATTATAGAATTACTAAAAGTTAAATAACTTGAGTTTCAGTTGGCTTTGACAGTTCAATAAAGCATCATCGATATTTATTACTATGCCTTATGATGACCTCAGCTGATCTATCTGACCAGACAAAAGATTTCAGAAATAGCAAGGCAATAGCTGTAAGTTTGATTCATGTTGATACAGTTTAAAAATCAAAGTTTTTTAGCGAATTTCTCTGAAATATCTCTTAACTTTATCGTACTGAAACTGTCAACAATTTTTATTTTATTTTAGGAAAAACAATTTTTATTTATTAAATTGAAACAAAATTATGTGAATACAGATTATGTGACTCTATTTATCGATGCTTAACTGACTCGATGCTTCACTGACTATTTTTTAATAGATCTATTGAGACACTAGTCTATTGGGAGAGAGAGAGAAACATAAGTGTGTTAAATCTATTGAGACACGTATGTTATTACTTTTAGGAAAATATTTATAAGGAATTTTTCTCGCAAGGAGATCTAGAAAAACAGATGGGAAATCGCCCATTAGAAATGATGGACCGGGATCGTGCATGCGTGCCAAAATTGCAGCTTGAATTCATGGATACAATTGCAGTACCTGTTTTTGAGCAAGTTTTTAAAAATTTTATTCTTTCGGGAAGAAACACTACATGGACTGGTAGTTTCTTTGATCTCTGTTCCATTGATGTCAACCGTCTTTAACTAATTTATGCGCGTTATTGTAGATACTTATCACAGTTATTACCCGAAAGCAAAAGTACATATGAGTCAATGTTGTTTAATCGGAAATGTTGGCTAGCGTTGGATGAGATATTGGCCGAGGAGAAGTACCCAACTCTTGGTCTTGATTACCTCAAGGACACTTTTCTAGAGAAGCGAGTAATCAAGCGAGCCCAGCAACGACATAAATGATAATAATAAAAGGTTTTTTGTTAGTTTTCAGTCATCAAATGCAAATGTTTCTTCAAAAACAGATTACGACTATGACGGATTGACTAATTTCAAACAGCGGAATATTTTGTATAATGGTTGCATGATAAATAATATACTATGGTAACAGAAATGCTATCAGTTATGAATTATAGTAAGACGTAGAAATATTATTCTTGTGTGACTTTTTTAAAAGAACATTTGGAAATTAAAATCTACGTTATCCATTTTTTTAATGTCGAGGAATCATAGGCACTTGTTAGGGAAACTTTCTTGGTTGTGGTTTGGAGTTGGCACAAATGAATGTGTTGAGAAGGAGTCTATTATAACGATTTTTATTCGCTAGCGACAACAATATACTGATAATTTCATAAAACTTGAAGGTTTATGATATATGATAAATGATGGAAAACTTAAACAAAGGTTTTTTAAATAGATTGAATTAACTGGTGCGAGAGAGCAGCCGAATTGTAGTTCGCTGGTGTAGACAGTAGTATATTTATTCTTTATGTAATAAGAAATGGTTTTTAACATTATGTCGGTTGCTGATAAGAATGACTGTCAAAACCTCCACAGTATTTTGACATTAAAGTAGATTTGGTTCCGAACAAAGTAATTTTAACATATTAAGCAATACACATACTCTTTGTTAACAATTGAAAATTTTTAGACAATGCAGGTAAGCTCAGCTACAGCTGGAAGATGTGTATTGGATAAATGATTACTTACATGAGATACAATCTGAAACATGAGTCTTATAATGGTCTAAAAGATATTTAATCTTATGGATTAATACAATTTTATCTCAACATATTACTATATAATTCCGTTTTTTTCTGACAAATATTATCTTAGAAAAATGAGAGAAACTCGCAGGACTCCTCGAATACATCATGTGCAATACATCTTTTAATTGCAATATTTTAATAATGGTGCTAATCAATTATTTTGACAACAGCACGTCTTGGATACGCCAAGTCCAGATAAAATCAAAAATCTTACTGAAAATGAGGATATGTGGATATGGACTTTGTATATTTTCAGACCCTCGATATGTTTAAATGCAATCACTCAACAGCCAACCTCCAAAGCTCAGTTCTTCAGTACATGATGAATCTGATATGTTATGGAATCTAAAATATATACCACTTTTCGTAATACAATATCTGAATAGCTACCGTCCTCTTATTCACCCGTCTTTGATATTCAAATCAGACTGTTAAATCTCGTTGTTGCCTTTTTCTGTTCAGAGTTTTATTTTTATCTTATTTTTTAATTTATATGAATAGCTGCCCATTTTCTTCATTTTTTTTTTTGTCATTCATAATATGAAATTCTTTAAGTTGCCTAATTTACTTGGCAGAATAGCTTGCTAATCATCTTTTGATTCCTTGATTTCGAAACTTTTTGCTTCGAAAAATAACTCGAGAGGAAGTTCTGCACATCTTTCAGAATTTATTTTAGTTTCTCATAATATCCTTGTGTGTATATTTTGATTGCTATCGGGTAATTATTTCATTATAAGCATGATTCTCAGAATACTCTTTTCATTTTCTTTTCGTGAAATCAATTTCAAGATTAGTACTTCATTAGTACTTGTTCGATGGGAAGCATCTCTGACTACTTTTTATATGTTTCATTTGCTATCTTCTTGCAACACTACTACACTGGTATTTTTTGGGGCAATCCAACTGTTAATATCTTTTCAAAATCTATTTCTTTTCAATTTATAAAATTGAAAATTTATAAAAACGAATACACTGACTAGTTATTCAAGCCAAGATATCAGTTACATGACTAATTTGCTTGGCTTCTGAATCTGCACAAGAAAATACAGTTCAATGCTGAGGCTTATCATAGAATTGCCCTGGAAGTCATTGAGTGTAATTGTGTCTTTCACTTAAATTTTTTTTCCTCCATTTTCCAAAATAATTTTTGCAGTCCGCCAAAGTAGAATTTCATTTTTAACACACTTCATTAAAACAATATCACTCAGTTTTCGGATTTCCGCTCGGTGGTGTTTCGTAGATTCTTGGAAATTCCTTTTTGAAAATGTCAAATAAAAGTTCGCTTTGTCCTGATTTCTGCAGATACCAACTTTGACCATGTCAGCGAATTAAAATTTCACTAAAAGGATCTTACTCAGTGAAAGTTAGGAGTGATATTGAAGTATCCGAGCTGATTTTTTTTATGACAACTAAAGAAAACATGGTATTGATGGGTTCGATATCTAATTAGCCGAACCATTAAGGGATCGATGTCAATCAGTACTAGCGGATAAATATATCTTAATATAATTTGAATTTATGATTTCCAGTCCTTAATCAGTTTCAGACCTTTATCCTCAGTTTTTATTGCAGTACTGCATGAAAATCTCAGTACGTAAGATGAACATTTGAAAACATAACTAATTGGTTTACCCCACTATGAATATTTTGAGCTTTAGATGAAAAAAGGTGAGATCCATAAAGAAAAATGAAGTGCTTATCAGTATATGGGTATCAATGTTTAAATCTTGCTAAATACAACAATTTGCAAATTAATCTGCTTGAAAAACTATAATATAGAGAGTAATGCTGAATATTTTCATCACAGATTTCTGCATTTCAATTGAATTTTTTGATTCGATACCTATCCGCGCCTACTCGTTTTTGGCACTCTTATCACTCCTAACATTGGGAACGTTGAATTGCAAATATTTTTGTGGATCATAGATTCTATTTTCGTGTTTTTGTCTGAAGGTGTTAGTTATCTGTTATGATGTGCATCACTGTTAGTAAATACGAACACCAAAATATCCGAACATAGTAAGCAAACTTAAAAATTTGAAACTGGTCTTTCTATACTAACTAAGCATTCACGTAACCATCACATAACACATGTTTTCATTCTTGAGAAGTTTGTGTATCCGGAATGTCTAATTTTCGTCCTCGTGTCCGTAAACGATTATCGATCTACAAAGAAGAACGCGCGTTTTACGAAAATTACTTTCCATTTACAAACTTGCCATTGCTTACAATTTATTCCTTAAATATACATATAGAAATATAAAAAACAGAAACAAAGACTAACGAGGGATAATTTACATTGAGCGAATGTATCTAATAATTGAAAACATCGTGCCGGAACACTATTAGCATGTGAGCGCAAGCAATCCATTGCTTGGCGATGCTCCTTTTGTACACAGTCCGATTCCTAAAGAGATTTCTTCCAAATACAGTTTGAACGGTATATGTTTCTTCAACTTACTGCGTGTGATTTTGTTATCAGCTCAGTAAAAAAAAGCTATCTTTTGAGCAGATTTTGAACGCAGAGACCGAATTCCCAATGCTCCACTAAATATTACCTCATTTACATACAACAAAGCACATAAATCACATTTCTGCTCTATCAAGTATGCATTTTAGTGTATGATTTCACATCTTTTCAATCAGTTCACAAAACACATTTAAAATTTTTTCTAACTGTGACCTACCTCAGGTTATTGAAATCAATGTATGAACGATGAAGAAAATTAAATGTCAAGCAAGTCTAGCATATTCCATCAAGTAAACACACATCAAGAGTTCCACCTGTCTTCACTATGATCTTATCAACCAACTCCGCTGTCCAAAAAGCATCCTCTAATTTAAACTTCAGTTGCACAAAAAGATTACCGTCCATGTCACTTGACAAACGAATCATTTCAGCTTTCTATCTATCTTCTAGCTAAAGTATAAACTTACTCTAAGGCATCTTTTCAGTGCTTGCCGTACGTGATCACACGCTCTCCCCCGTTTTCTCTTTGATTTTTCTTCAGTTTCCATAGGTACATTTTCATACATCACTTACCTGCAACACATTTATCATTCAATTTGGGTGACAAGAATATGTCGCAGAAAGTCAAAAATAGATTCTCAGACAAAACTACTGCAGCACAGGTACAACAATTTAAGCATTCTCTAGCAGTCTAATTCCACGAAAACCACTCCAACAGCTCAAACTTCTTTTAGTGATTTGTCCTTCTGCCGGGATACTTCGCTACAGTTTATTTATTTACTTCCAAGCTTTCCTTGAGATTACCCTATGCTCTATGTCGAATATCAGGTAAATAATTCGAGGTTAAATTAATTGTCCAGAAATTTATCTCAGAAATGGGCGAGAGGAGAGTATAAGCATGCCCAGTGTTATTCAGGGCCATGAAGTACATTTACTGGCTACTTTTCGTTATCCATAGTTCTACTCAGTCCTCATATTCAAATGCCTTAAAAGGCGGTAATGGCCATTCTATGATCTGAAATATGCTGCAGTAATTACTACTAATTACCTGTCGAATTTTTAGTGACGAAGGAATGGATGATGAGGAGATTGGAGAAGGAGAATTCGTTGTGGAGGCCATCCTTGGAGAGCGTTACAACAAAAGGAAAAGAATGAAGGAGTATCTACTGAAGTGGAAAGGATACAGTGATGCAGAAAATACATGGGAACCTGAAACTAATCTGGTACCACTGCTTTTCCTTTTCAGTACTATAGTACAATCATAATTTCATTTTAATCATTGTAAAGCAAAAATGCCCTCCATGTTGTAAAGTTCCTTCACAAATTCATATAAATTAAGGACGTTATTCAGTCAGCATTAGGGGAAACGATTTCTGCTTAGCAAATCGTAAATATATGATTCAGAACATTATTGTTAGTTTTGGTAAATTAAGTTGTCCTTTCTTGTGTTTTTATTGATGCGATCCATTAATGTATTTTTATGATGTATTTTTCATTTTCGTTGCTAATTTTTTTTAAACATATTTCATAATCCCATCCCCAGTTCCCTGAATTATTTTGTCTTCTCTTTTTGTATGCTTTATCTATGCAAAAATAGAAACTTGATGATGTATGCTCCAGAAGTCACTGTCAGATACTTCACTGGTAGATCGCCATGACAAGATTTTGGGTATGTGAGTAAAGAAGTATTATTTCAGGATTGCGATGAATTAATTGCGGAATTTCATGCTCAGCAAAAGTAAGCTATCAAAAAGTTTTTACTTATTTGTGCCTCATAGTCAAAATTATTGTTTTCTTCGATCGATGTTAGAAATGCATAAATAACGTCATGGTAATTTACATGCAGAAATTAACATATCTTACTCAGATAAAATTAAAGATGTTAGTTGTAAATTCTGTGCTTTCATAACTGCAGTGGTAGTAGTGGTGATAAATCTTTCATTTTATGTAACATCCGAGGACAAATCTTTTATCATTTTATGTAACATCCGAGAAAATGGAGAAACGTAGGTAGCGTTTGTAAGCGTTTATGAACAATTCTCTTGTTAGTACTTGGTAATGAGATAATTAAAATGTTGACATTAGCAAACAACATTTAACTAATTTTTAACTAATCTCGAAAATATGTCTTAAGTCAACGTCATTGTTGCTGTTATAATATTTAAAAATGTTGTTTGCCCTATTGCATAGTGTCACATTCACTGCAGAGAAACTTGGGGAAAGCAGCGAAATGAATTATGGCAAAACCTGATGGGCATTACAAGTTCTAAATCAAAATCACGAAAACCGTTATCCAAAATGAGCTGTTCTGGAAGTCATAGTCTCACGTTCGCGGACCCTGACTGCTATAATATTCCATCGCATGCTTCTCGACCCGGCGTCACTTGTTCAGCTATTTCCTTGAAGCGTCCAGCTTCCGAGGACTTGTGTCGAACAGAAGACTACATTTATTCAAGCGAAAGTGAAGATGATGAGAGGAGTCGACAACTAAGAAGTTCTTTTATTTCAGTTCCATCATGTTTTTTCTCATTTCACTTCTGTTTTGTCAAAAACATAATTTGTGTCTCTATCGAAGTGTTTTGAAATTACTTCGCACCAAAAGACTTTATATATACTTTCAGTGCGTCCTCCTCCTGGTGAAAGTGGAATGGAAAAAGGTTGGGTGCCAGAAGTGATCGTCGCAGCTTGCGTAGGCTTATTGATTTTTTTCTTTTTATAAAGCAAAAAAAAAGAAAAATTAAATATATTGTAATAAAGTGGGTGAAATTTCTGATGCTATTTCTAAACTGGAAAAAATACATCTTCGTTTATACTTTGTAGCCTCAAACTATTCACGTAAAATTAATAAGGAAT